GGGAAATATGGGGGAGCCAGGTGCGCCGACAGTGTAATTGGAATGGAGAGGATGGGTGGGAGCCAGGTGCGCTGACAGGGGGATAGGTGGGAGCCAGGTGCACCGACAGTATCATTGGAATGGAGGATGGGTGGGAGCCAGGTGCACCAACAGTCATTGGAATGGAGGATGGGTGGGAGCCAGGTGCGCCGGCAGTGTCATTGGAATGGAGGATGGGTGGGAGCCAGGTGCACCGACAGGGAAATATGGGGGAGCCAGGTGCACCGACAGTGTCATTGGAATGGAGGATGGGTGGGAGCCAGGTTCACCGACAGGGAAATATGGGGGAGCCAGGTGCGCCGACAGTGTCATTGGAATGGAGGATGGGTGGGAGCCAGGTGCACCGACAGGGGGATAGGTGGGAGACAGGTGCACCGACAGTGTCACTGGAATGGAGGATGGGTGGGAGCCAGGTGCGCCGACAGTGTCATTGAAATGGAGGATGGGTGGGAGCCAGGTGCGCCGACAGTGACATTGGAATGGAGGATGGGTGGGAGCCAGGTGCGCCGACAGTGTCATTGGAATGGAGGATGGGTGGGAGCCAGGTGCGCGACAGTGTCATTGGAATGGAGGATGGGTGGGAGCCAGGTGCGCCGACAGTGTCATTGGAATGGAGGATGGGTGGGAGCCAGGTGCGCCGGCAGTGTCATTGGAATGGAGGATGGGTGGGAGCCAGGTGCGCCGACAGGGAAATATGGGGGAGCCAGGTGCACCGACAGTGTCATTGGAATGGAGGATGGGTGGGAGCCAGGTGCGCCGACAGGGAAATATGGGGGAGCCAGGTGCGCCGACAGTGTAATTGGAATGGAGAGGATGGGTGGGAGCCAGGTGCACCGACAGTGACATTGGAATGGGGAGGATGGGTGGGAGCCAGGTGCGCTGACAGGGGGATAGGTGGGAGCCAGGTGCACCGACAGTATCATTGGAATGGAGGATGGGTGGGAGCCAGGTGCACCAACAGTCATTGGAATGGAGGATGGGTGGGAGCCAGGTGCACCGACAGGGAAATATGGGGGAGCCAGGTGCACCGACAGTGTCATTGGAATGGAGGATGGGTGGGAGCCAGGTGCACCGACCGGGAAATATGGGGGAGCCAGGTGCGCCGACAGTGTCATTGGAATGGAGGATGGGTGGGAGCCAGGTGCGCCGACAGGGAAATATGGGGGAGCCAGGTGCGCCGACAGTGTAATTGGAATGGAGAGGATGGGTGGGAGCCAGGTGCACCGACAGTGACATTGGAATGGGGAGGATGGGTGGGAGCCAGGTGCGCTGACAGGGGGATAGGTGGGAGCCAGGTGCACCGACAGTATCATTGGAATGGAGGATGGGTGGGAGCCAGGTGCACCAACAGTCATTGGAATGGAGGATGGGTGGGAGCCAGGTGCACCGACAGGGAAATATGGGGGAGCCAGGTGCACCGACAGTGTCATTGGAATGGAGGATGGGTGGGAGCCAGGTGCACCGACCGGGAAATATGGGGGAGCCAGGTGCGCCGACAGTGTCATTGGAATGGAGGATGGGTGGGAGCCAGGTGCACCGACAGGGGGATAGGTGGGAGACAGGTGCACCGACAGTGTCACTGGAATGGAGGATGGGTGGGAGCCAGGTGCGCCGACAGTGTCATTGAAATGGAGGATGGGTGGGAGCCAGGTGCGCCGACAGTGTCATTGGAATGGAGGATGGGTGGGAGCCAGGTGCGCGACAGTGTCATTGGAATGGAGGATGGGTGGGAACCAGGTGCACCGACAGTGACATTGGAATGGGGAGGATGGGTGGGAGCCAGGTGCGCTGACAGGGGGATAGGTGGGAGCCAGGTGCACCGACAGTATCATTGGAATGGAGGATGGGTGGGAGCCAGGTGCACTGACAGGGGGATAGGTGGGAGCCAGGTGCACTGACAGAGGAGTCAGGGGGCTCTCTGTAGCTCAGCACACGAGCCCCTCCCCCAGAGGTTGGTTTCCTCTCTGTGTTGCTGTACGGTGCTCGGTGTTCATCACACAGGACAACATTACACAACCGGCTATCGGTGGTTCCCACACTGTGATGACGTCACCACCGTCCAGGAAACTCTCATTCAACACACAGCCCTGCCAGCCTGGCCTGATCCGTCCATCAACGGGAAGCCACACCCCCAACCCTCAGCCCTGGTATGTCATTGGCGAGCGGGATGTTTACCTTATATGGTCTGACACTGCCACAGCTCGGGCGACCATTGGCTAGGAGCGGAGCCGCTGTGGGTGACCTCACTACACAAACAAAGCGGGGGATGCCGGGAGTTGTAGTTCCAGAGGAGCTTAGACATGTGGGATGGGGAGCTGCTGCTCTAGCTGGGTGTGTGCACCAGGGATCCGTCCCTATGCTACTTTCCGCAAGTGGTCACTGAGATTACCCTCAGGGTACAGACATTGGGGTGCTTAGAGCAGTTGTTTTAACTGAGTTTCTTCAGCTGCTGTGGAACTACAAATTGCAGCATGTCTGTGTGTTTAAATAACAGCTGCAGAGCCACAGGCTGCGAAAATATGATGTGCACTGTGTACTAAATATTATAAAAAAATTATGAATTAAATATGATTAAATACTATATGAATTATTATAATGTGATATCAATTTATTTTAAGTATAAATTAATTATAAAAATGTAAGTATAAATATAATAAAATGTTTATATATATATATATAAAGTTATTGATTTAATATTATAATAAAAATGTTATTCCTATTTAATACATTATTGTTAATGATTTAATATTATAATAAAAATGTTATTCCTATTTAATACATTATTGTTAATATTGAATGTTATTTATTATTTATTTTTTATTATTATTATTATTGTTTTAATCATTTCATAAAATACTATTTCAGCTTGCCAGTATTGTAAAAATGTAATTCCTATTTAATACATTATTATTAATATTGAATATGTTATTATTTAATTTATTTTTATTATTGTTTTTTTATCTTATCATAAAATACTACTTCAGCTTGCCAGTCTGCTGGCTTGTGTAGTTCCACAATACACATTCATTTGCTCCATCTGGTTTCCAGGTCAGTCTGGTTATGAATATCTAAATCTTGGGTTTTTGTCCCTGGGAATCTCATTAATTTGCCTGCTTTCTCTAAAGTAAAATATAATAACATTATTGTATTATTATTATTATTTTTATTATTTTTAGGGTTTGTCAAACATTGCCTTTTGCTTAGTGATGCTCAAGCACATACATTAAAATGGAAGAAGCAGAAATGAGACAAACTGATGCAAAGAAAAAAAAATAAGGACAGGCGGCACCCGGAGAAACACGAAGCAGGTTAGACAAAGCCTCAGAACTGTCACCCCATAGACTTCAATGGGAGTGTGTGAAAAAACAAATTAAAAAAGCGTACAAAAAAACACACGAGCATTGACCTAGCCTTACAACTACCAGGGGCACATACACACAATTATTATTACTAGTGCAATCTTGCTGCTAAAATCACCCATGGTCATCGGCCATAAACCCCTACTAATTAGCGATCGGTCATCGGAGGTAAGCAACCAGGGGTGTAATTGATCGATTCCCAATAATCCCACCGTGCTTCAAATTTGTGTGAACAACACCATGTATTATCGAATGATTCCCAATAATCGCACCATGCTCTAAATATATGAGATCAACACCACATAGTATTGATTGGACCCCAATCTGATCAATCCCACCGCATGCTATCGATCGATCCCTGATAACTGCACCATTCCCCAAATATGTGCAATCAACGCTGCGTAGTATTGATTAATTCCCAGTAATCGGCATAATGCTCCTGTATGACTAATATATAAAGTAAAAAAAACAATATATATATACACACACACATCTATATACATATATATATATACATACATACACACATATATATGTATGTGTATATATATATATATATATATATACACATATATATATGTGTGTATGTACATATATATATATATATGTGTGTGTGTGTATATATATATATATATATATATATATGTATGTATATATATATGTATGTATATCTATATATATGTATGTATCTATATATATATATATATATATATATATGTGTGTGTGTATACATGTATATATATGTAGCGATCAAAGGCGATTCATCTCAGGTGATTTTAAAAAAAGTTTCACTGGCAAAAATCACTGTGTGTGTCCAGCCGTATGTCGTGTTCATGTACGTATGGTAAGGACACGTTTCCTATCTGGAAATGAACACCCTACAAAATGAGACATTTGGAGAAAACATTGTTGCACTAGTTCTCATTTCCTGGATTTTTTGGTGTTTGCCGTTTTGTACTATAGCAGGTGAATGCAGCATAAAACACGCTCTTTTCCCCCCCAACTCCCGAAAAAAAACTCCATTTCCCATCATGCCTTGCTCCTCCACTCCTCTGTGGGGCTGGAGCTGGTTGATGGGCAGCTTTGCAGGGAGGCAGTGAGTGAGCGGTGTGCGTTGTGTTTATAAATGTCTCTCTACATGTCTACGTGTGAGTGTGTACAGCCGGCGGGGGGCTCTCACCCGTGTCTATGGGCAATGGGCGTCTGGTGCACGTGTGTGTGAATGCGTGCCCCGTCTGATCCTCTGCAGCAACGTGTTCTTCATGTTGCAGCGTGCAGCAGACACACAATGCCTGGATTGTATTTGTTTACGTCTGGACGTGTGAGCGCTGGGAGTCGCGTACAGATGTGTTCTGTGTTTACAGGACGGAGTACAGGGCACATGGCTTGTGTAGGGTTGTGCGTGCGTCTGATCATGGCGTGTTTTATTGTGAAACATCGATGTACTATACCGAACAAGATGGCTCCCCTCCTGCTCTGTGTTGTGTCTGCTTGTCGTGCTCCTGTGTGTTATCTCTGCTAACCATTTGTATTTTTCTCCACTCACAGACTGCTAGGTGTCACTGAGCCGTCGCTTGCGCTGTGGGTGTGACGTCCGTCGGGATGTCTGGTGACATAGAGCAGTTGAAGCAGCAGCTGCTGGTGTCCCAGTTTGTGCTGGCGGCCGGCTGCGCTACGGACCAGGCTGAGCAGCTACTGCGGGCGGCGCACTGGCAGTATGAGGTGAGGGGAGAGCGCTGGGCTCCGGGGGACCCTGGGATCTGGAGGAACAAAATGTTCACTTTTTATTCTTTCAGCTTTCTGTCCCTTCGTCTGCGCTCACTCAGCTTCAACCTTTCACCACATTCTGTCACTCTGTAAGCACGCTCCCTACGTTTCTTTCTTGCTGTCTCCCTATTCACACCTCTTTCCCACTGTCGCCCCTCTCCCACTGTCTCCCTGCTCAGCCTTCTCTCCTGCTGTCTCCCTGCTCAGCCTTCTCTCCCGCTGTCTCCCTGCTCACCCCTCTCTCCCACTGTCTACCTGCTCACCCCTCTCTCCCCCACTGTCTCCCGGCTCAGCCTTCTCTCCCACTGTCTCCCTGCTCACTCCTCTCTCCCACTGTCTCCTTGCTCACCCCTCTCTCCCACTGTCTTCTTGCTCACCCCTCTCTCCCACTGTCTTCTTGCTCAGCCTTCTCTCCCGCTGTCTCCCTGCTCAGCCTTCTCTCCCGCTGTCTCCCTGCTCAGCCTTCTCTCCCGCTGTCTCCCTGCTCAGCCTTCTCTCCCACTGTCTCCCTGCTCAGCCTTCTCTCCCGCTGTCTCCCTGCTCAGCCTTCTCTCCTGCTGTCTCCCTGCTCAGCCTTCTCTCCCGCTGTCTACCTGCTCCGCCCTCTCTCCCACTGTCTACCTGCTCAGCCCTCTCTCCTGCTGTATCTCTGCTTGCTCCTCTCTCCCCTTGACTCTCAGCTTGTCCCTCTCTCCTGTTTCCCTGCTCTCTCCTCTTTCCTGTTGTCACTCTGCTCAGCCCTCCCTCCCACTGTCTTTCTGCTTGCCCCTCTCTTCTCTTTCTCTCTGCTCTCCCCTATCTCTGTGCTCCCTCCCTGTTAACCGCCCTTTCCTGCTGTGTCTCTGCTTGCCCCTTTCTCCCATTTACTCTCAGCTCGCCCCTCTCTCCCACTGTCTCCTTGCTCACCCCTCCCTCTCTCTGTCTACTTTCTCGCCCCTCCCTCTCTCTGTCTACTTTCTCGCCCCTCCCTCTCTCTGTCTACTTGCTCGCCCCCTCCCTCTCGCTGTCTCCCTGCTCGCCCCTCCCTCTCGCAGTCTCCCTGCTCGCCCCTCCCTCTCGCAATCTCCCTGCTCGCCCCTCCCTCTCGCAGTCTCCCTGCTTGCCCCTCCCTCTCGCAGTCTGCCTGCTTGCCCCTCCCTCTCGCAGTCTCCCTGCTCGCCCCTCCCTCTCGCAATCTCCCTGCTCGCCCCTCCATCTTGCTGTCTCCCTGCTTGCCCCTCTAACCCACTGTCTTTCTACTCGCCTCTCTATCCCACTGTCTCTGTGCTCGCCCCTCTCTCTCACTGTTTCTGTGCTCGCCCCTCTCTCTCTCACTGTTTCTGTGCTCGCCCCTCTCTCTAGCTGTCTCTGTGCTCGCCCCTCTCTCTCACTGTTTCTGTGCTCGCCCCTCTCTCTCGCTGTCTCTGTGCTCGCCCCTCTCTCTCGCTGTCTCCCTGCTTGCCCCTCTCTCCCTGCTCATCCCTCTAACCTCTCTGCTTGCCCCTGTCTACTGCTGTCTCCCTGCTCGCTCCTCTCTATCGCTTTTCTTCTGCTTGCCGCATCCCCCACTGTCTCCCTGCTGGTTCCTCTCTACTGTTGTATATCTGCTTGCCTGTCTCCTGCTTTCCCTCTGCTTGCCACCTCCCCCGCTGTCTCATTACTCGCCTTTCTGTCCTGCTGTCTTCCTGTTCTTTCCAGTCTACCTCTGACTCTCTGCTCACCTCTCTGTCTTTGTTTCTCTCTCCTGCAGTCTCCCTTCTTGCCGCTCTCTCCTATTGTTGACCTGCTCCCCCTCTCTCTTTTCTGATGACCTGCTCCCCCTCTCTCTTTCTGATGACCTGCTCCCCCTCTCTCTTTCTGATGACCTGCTCCCCCTCTCTCTTTCTGTTGACCTGCTCTCCCTCTCTATTACTGATGACCTGCTCTCCCTCTCTCTTTCTGATGACCTGCTCCCCCCTCTCTCTTTCTGTTGACCTGCTCTCCCTCTCTATTACTGATGACCTGCTCCCCCTCTCTCTTTCTGATGACCTGCTCCCCCTCTCTCTTTCTGTTGACCTGCTCTCCCTCTCTATTACTGATGACCTGCTCTCCCTCTCTCTTTCTGATGACCTGCTCTCCCTCTCTCTTTCTGATGACCTGCTCTCCCTCTCTCTTTCTGATGACCTGCTCTCCCTCTCTCTTACTGTTGACCTGCTCCTGCTCTCTCCAGCCATTGACCTGCTCCCCTTCTCTCTCAATGCTGACCTGCTCCTCCCTCTCTCATACTGTAGGCCTGCTCCCCCCTCTATCATACTGTTGACCTGCCCCCCCCCCTCTCTCCAGCCATTGACCTGCTCCTCCTCTTTCTGTATTACTGTGGATGTTCTATTCCTCTCTTTTACCATTGACGTGCCGCCACCCCCCCCCCTCCAGCCATTGATCTGCTCCTCCTCTTTCTGTATTACTGTGGACGTTCTATTCCTCTCTTTTACCATTGACCTGCTCACCCCTCTCTCCAGCTGTTGAACTACTTGCCCCTTTCTTCAGCTGTTGACCTGCTCCTCCCCCTTCTTTTTTACTGTTTCTGACTGTCACCCTACTTTGCTCCCTCTGTCTCTCCCCATCATCTCTTCTTTCAGTCACTTACTCTGTACACCTTCACTGCCTGTTTCAGCTCCCCTACCTTTCACATCCTTCTTTCTTCCAGCATTGTCATTGTTTAGCCTTTCTTCCCTCCATTGTACTTCTAGTTAATGCCCATCATTGTGTTATATCTCTCTCTTCTCTCTGCAGACCGCACTTAGCGCCTTCTTCCAAGAGTCCAGTCACCCCTACATCCCACACCACCAAATGGTAAGACACTGGGAGGGGTCTGTGAACCAGTTTTGTTGAAAATGTGTGAATTCGGACAATCTTCTATGGTCTGTTTTTGAATCAAAAGATGAAAGACTCTGTCAAATGCAGTGCCTAGTGAGTGTAAAATTAGCATGTATCCTCCACCTTACCAATCGCTCAGGGTTTGCCAAAATTACTCCTCTGGTTTCTGTCCACCCATCAAATAAAATTTAGAATATTGACAATATTGTAAAAAACCATCCACAACTCTGCTTCCAGCTACATCACCAATCTTGTCTCAAAATATCAAGCAAACAGTCCTTTTCTCTCCTCCCAATGCCTCTTTCTCTCACTTCCTCCCATGCTCACTTTTTAGACTTCTCCAGAGCCTCATCCTTCCTCTGGAACTCTCTACTGCAGTCTAACCTGTCAAGCCATTCCCTAGTCTTTCTGCTTTTAGGAGGTCCATGTAAATTCATCTCTTCAGGAATTCCTGTCTCACCTCTTCCTAAAAACTGAACTTTTATTTCCTCCACCAACTCATCCCCCCCACTGTTATTACCCTTATACATCACTTGCCCCTCACTTTAAGATTGGAAGCAGGGTCCTCTTAACCCTCTTGAGTAGCAATGCATTGTAACTGCACTGTTTTAGTCCCCCTTTATATTGTAAATTATTGCGTACACTGTTAGCACCATATAAATCCAGTATTATAAAAAATAATATAAATAACCCTTACTGCTCAGTAGTGAGGACATGAACATGCTAGTGCTTTTTAAAGTGGTTTTTATTTTTTACCCCAAATCTATTTTTATATTGTATGTCTTCTTAGCTCACTGTATTCAGTTTTTCTAAAGCAGAAGTAAACTCACCTCCCCTCATTAGCCCTGACATGCTCACCTGGTCTTCCTCTGGTATCAGGATCTTCGGCCATCTTGAGTGGATGGACCAAAATGATGTAACTCTCAAGTCTCCACATGGGATTTCATTCATTCCAGCACTGAGGTGTGCCAAGAATATACACTGAGCTGTACATGCCCAGATCAGTATACATTCTATAGATGACTGCAAACAGGAAGATACGTTTGTTTAATTGCAGAAATCTGCCATTAAGATCCTACTCATTCGCAATTTTTTTTCCAACCTAAGTCCTCTTTAAGGAAATTATTTTTGTAAATCCGTTGCAAAGTTTCTTACCTGGAAATCCTGGCAGTAACAACACTTCTTGTTGCAGACGGACAACACTAAGTCACTGCCTTGCAATTAGCAGAGGTGTTATCAGTTATCAATGTTCACTCCTTAATTGCCCTTTGGGCTTCCTTTCAAATCCGTACATACCCCCTGCCCTGAGAAAAATATGAAGTTTGCCATTTTTGACCCCTTTCCGAAAATTATGAACACTTGACTATCCTATGAATTTAATATTTTGTGTTTATACCCTGGAACAAGTATTGAATCCACACAACCGCTAGTTCGCCAGAATTTTCAGACCATCAGCCATGGCAGCCTACATATTTGTCTCAGAACAGGTTCCCCTTAAAGCACAACTCCAGACACAACTTTTAATTTGTTTTGGACCGAGTGTAGAAGGGTTAGAAACTCTACCAGGTTATTATTGCAGTTTTTGTGCCCATTGGGGATTTCCTCTCACCTAACTGAGACAAAATGTGAGCAAAATCTCTCCTCCAAGAGCACAGCCAACAATAAAACATAGGGTGTTATTTACTAAATCTGGAGAATGCAAAATCTGGTGCAGCTCTGCAGAGAAACCAATCAGCTCCCAGGTTTAGGTGAGAAACTTGGTGACGCCATCCAAAACCAAGAGACTAACAAACCCTTCCCTAGTCAAAGTAAGAAATATGTTTTGGCTAGAGCTGACCTTTAAAACCCATCTTGTAAAGAAAATAACCCCGACTCTGAACATCTCTCTTTTAATCCCATCATCCTGTCTTTATCTACCATTACATTATCACTTCCAACCAGGGGCGGACTGACAACTCATGGGGCCCCTGGGCAATAGGGGATCATGGGGCCCTGTGTCCTTGCCCAAATTTAAAAAAGCCTATGAAAAAGGTACTAGGGGCATCTCATGGGGCCCCCTACTGACCCCGGGCCCTCGGGCACTGCCCGAGTTTCCAAATGGTCAGTCCGCCCCTGCTTCCAACTCTCCAACACCTATTGTGTTTATCCTTTCTTTTTTAAATCAGAAGCTGCTTTCCTGTAGTGTTTCATTATTTGTGTTCCAAGGTTTTAGCCTCCTTGTGTCCTCACTTTGTTCAGTTTTGCAGAATGTGTTGACTTTATATAAATTAATTATTATTATTATTATACAGGATTTATATAGCGCCAACAGTTTGCGCAGCGTTTTACAAAATGAAGGCAGACATTACAGTTACAATACAATTTTGTACAAGAGGAATCAGAGGGCCCGACTCATTAGAGTGTACAGTCTAGGAGGAAGGGTTGAGTGATACAAAAGGTAATAGCTGTGGAGGGATGGGCTGATGGAGGAAATAAATGGCGATTTACTAGGTAGAAGCAGGATAGGCTTCTTTAAAGAGAAACGTTTTCAGGGATCGTCTAAAGGTGGATAGATTAGGAGACAGCCGGACAAATTGGGGTAGGAAGTTCCATAGGATGGGAGCAGCTTGGAAGAAGTCCTAGAGGCGAGCATGGGAGGAGGTGACACGGAAACTAGAGAGCAGAAGGTCGGTAGGATCGAAGAGAGCGGTTTGGTTGATATTTTGAGACCAGGTTGGTGATGTAACTGGGGGCAGAGTTGTGGATGGCTTTGTACGTTGTTGTTAGTATTTTGAATTTTATTCGTTGAGCGAGTAGAAGCCAGTTAATGATAATAATATTGTAGTTGGGTTGTGCTATATGGCTATTTTATATACACTATATGGCAAAACATTTCTGGACAGCTGATCATCACACTTATATGAGCTTGTTGGATATGCAGTTCCTAAAACATTGGTATCAATATGGAGTTGGGCCCCTCTTTTTGACTATAAAAGCCTTCACTCTTCTAGGAAAGATTTCCACAAGATTTTGTCTGTGGTTCTGTGGGATTGTTTACCATGTTTGGCTAAACATTTGTGATGTCACATACTGATGTTGTATGAAAAGACTTGGCTCTCAATTGGCATTCCATTTCATCCCAAAGGTGTTCAGTAAGGTTGAGGTTCCTCTAGTTCCTCTAACCCAAACCCATCAAACCATGGAGCTATTTTATTGCACATTGGCACAGTCATGCTGGATCAGAAGAGGACCTTCCTCAAACTGTTACCAGAAGGTTGGAAGAGTACAGAGATCTAAAATGTCATAGTTGGCATGGTGGTTAGGATTCCAAATTTTTTTACCATATAGTATAGTTCTTTTAATAACCTCATTTTGTGTGATCTAGATTGGAATTTAGTAGGTTGTAGTATTAAAGATTAAAGTCTCATGCTTCTTCTTTCAGATGGGCACCCCTGCCAACACTCCCGCCACCCCTCCCAATTTTCCTGATGCCCTGACTATGTTTTCCCGCCTGAAAGCCTCAGAAAGTGGCTACCTCTCCTCACTGGCCACGTCCCCGCCCCTCCAGCAGGGCGGCGCCCATTTCTCTCATGATCCTAGAATGCAGCAAATGGGTATGGGCTTCAACTGCCCCGGAGGTGCCCAGAACTCCAACGGCAGTCGAGGCGCGGAGGCAAACCCAGCAGCGGAGGCTGAGAGATGAGATACGGAGGACTGAAGGACAGCATGAAGGGGGCAGGATGTGGCATGTAGACTTTATGTAGCCGGCTGAACTGCCAAAAGCCTTCCGAGTATTGCTCCATAGAAGCACCCGGTATCTCATCCTTAGCAATACGGCAGTGGTGGAGACCTTTTTTTCGGATAATCTCCTTTACCTCACTTGCCTGCAGAGCATTGCACCAGCTCCATTTTCCACCCTAACTAACACTCACTACAGAGCTGCCCGGTCTTCAGCCATACCTCATACTGCATCGTATGCTGGTGCCGGGTATTTTTTCAGGCCTCGAAGCCTTTGCGGAGCTTACCGAAAGCGGTGTAGGGATGCGTTTGTCTTTGATGTCATTTAACCCCGGGGATCCCCAATTAATACGGACATTCCTGTAGCGGTTTTAAGAGTTGATGACAATAAATATTTTAAACTTTTACACATGACAAAAGGGGAAAGATGTCCTGTTTTATTATTTCAGTGTTTTACTTACATTTTCCAGTGCACTTATCTGGAGTTGGAGGAAGCTTTGTGCAGTCATTCTTTGAGATGGGTGGTCAGAAAAGGGTAATCTGAAATGGGTGGTTAGTGTATTCTGTAACCCAGCTTTTCTCAACCTTTTAACCCAGAGGAACCCTTAAAAAAATTTCAGGTCTCAGGCAACCCATGCTAAAATCAGTTAATTTGGAAACGCCCCTTACATTGGTGGCCAGTGAAGAGAATGCCACCCTTACAGAGGTGGTTAGAATGCCACACTTACAGAGGAGGTTAGAATGCCACTCTTACAGACATCTAAAAAGATCATTGGTGTCATGCCGCTAGCTCTACCAAGTCGTGTTGGACTCAGGATTGTGCAGGCTCCATTAGATGGAAAGTCAACCAGCAGCAGCTCAAGGAACTGCTAGCAACATCTGAAGAAACCCTAGGGTTCCTCGGAACCCTTGTTGGCTGCTTTAACCAGAATGCTTTACAGATGCCAATCAGCTGGAGTATGGGTTTTTGCTGGATCTTTGACAAAACATTGTTTTGATATCTTCTACTGCGGTTTACACCCAACAATCAGCCCTTAAGAAGGAAAAGCAGAACCCTGAAATGTGTCGGCTTACTGTTAGAATTTTAATAAGATGTAAAAAGAGACTCTGGCTATGGGATTTGCCCCCTAAATATAGTGAAGAACTTATGACTGCATGTTCCATCCCCTCAACACGAGAGGCCTCCAGACTTTGATATTACTACTAAGCAGACTAGTACATGGACCTTACAGTAATGCAGCCAGTGCCTCCAAACATTCTCTTTTTTACTCTCCTAGCTATTAGTAGTCACATTCAACAGGAAATGCTTTGTAATGTTGGAGGTGTTTCACCACTCATCCAACTGGCTTCCACAGTCCATATGAGTCTCAGGAACATGATTGCTGAGAAAACATTGGTGTACAACTCAGTGGATAACCCTATTGTATGTGACTTTGCCTTGTATGAAATAATGCTTGACACCAATTTTTTTGGAAGGGCAGGGCCACGGCCGAAATGGACTCAAAATCCACATTTTTAATAAACAACTTCTTAGCAAAACCTACTGTGAATACCCAGTATTATTTTAACATTATGACATTGTTTAAACACGGGGTTCAATGAACCAAAGCACTTGTAGCACTCGCAGACCAAACAATTTACTGCTGGCAGCAAAGAAAGCTGTAACAAATTTGAAATCAGGAGGGCACGCAAGAACTTGCTTGATGGCAGGTCCAGGTCTTCTCCAAAGAGGTCCATGACCCCACCCTTAAGCTTCCACACCCTTTGTTGACCTTGACCAGTTTAGACCCTTTACCTCTCTCATTTTGGCAGTTCAAGGAGAGGGAAATTATCCTTTGAAGCCTTTCCTTTTAAGCTAGGGCTCTATTTACTTACGGTCAAGGGGGCTTCATACCCAGTATTTATACCTGCATGGTTAATTAAGTTACAGTACCTTAATCCAATCACTGTGGTATCATGAAGTGTGCCAAGGCAGATATCAATTGTCGGAGAACCAGATGAGAGGTGTGACCGCCCTAATTCACATTATTATTATACAGTTTGCTCAGCGCACAATGGCCATTGTGCCGAGACAATTTGGACTATGGTGACTGTGTTGTACATGTAGATGTAAACACCAGGTTATGCTCCTAGCATTTGTTGAACTCAACAAGCCACTTGGGTGAGGTGTAAAGGTTGTCAGCATCTCTAACCAAGTTCAGGTGAATGAGGCTAACTACTACTAGCTATACCGTGACTTGTATAAATTAAAACCTTCACAGAGGTTAGTACCGGCTAGAAGAGAAACCGAGGCGGCCACAGGCTGTTGGGGCCCAGGAGTAATTTCCCCGGCAAAACTGGAGGGGCCCAGTTCCTCCTGATTTCAATGGGTCTACCTTGTCTGACCAGGGTCGGGGAGGCAGAGAGGCCACTGAGCAGTGCCCCCTGGGAGTGGTTGCTTTAGGATTGCTCTTAGTAACACATGAAGGTGGGATCCCAAGTGTGAAAAGTGCACATGGTCACTGTTCTAAACACTTTTTCTGCACTGGGCCTTTTCGGGCTAGGCCTTTTGGCTAAGTCCAGGGCAATGTTTTTGCTACGGGCCTCAGGGCCTAGCCAGTGCACAGCTACACAGCCACTTATTTATTTATTCCTCACTGTTTTGTCACCTTTTCACTATTGTGTGTGTTTTTTTTTTTTCTCACTAGGATGGAGGGTGTGGGTCTTTGGGCCTGCCCTGAAGTCTAGGAGGAGGATGTGTTGCCATTAGTTTCCTTCCTCCCCTGTTCCTGGGGGGGGGGGGGTCTCTCTTTGGGAGAGCTCCCTGACCTGGTACTTGGTGGTCGGCTTCGGACAGCCACAAGGAAAGGGTCTTCCAGGCCTTTTGACTAGGTGGACCATGTTGGAAACCCTTTGTCCCAGTCAGGAGTTTTGCTCCACGGGGGATCGGGGTAGAGGTCCTACCCCTTCAGGGGGTGAACAAAAGCATACCCTTAAGTGCACTTTCTTGTGTTTGTGTTTTTGCACTTCCATGTTTTTTTAAACACTTATGGGTTTTAGTTTTACACCTCTGGGGACTAAATTTAAAAGAAATTAAAGCCTTCACAGACAATTTATATTGTCCCAATAAATTTTACAAAGTTGCCATCCTCCACCAAAATGTCTGCTGATAGCATAAGTCCCCTTTGAGCACTTCTTGAAAATATCACAGCTCCCCGCCTCAGTACTCCTCTCAACAGCTCTCAGCCCTGATGCAAGCAGTGAGCTGGCTCATGGTATTGGTTATGCAAGTATTAAAATGCCTTGATGGACACATAATTTGATGGACACTCTAATTTTTGCATGCAAACCACCGTAGGTAGTGTCCATGTGTGATGCTGAGCCTCTGTGACTGAAAGCTGAAACTGAAATCCAGGGAATATAAGGGGCAGACCAGGGATGGTTCAGCTGGGGAGGAAAGGCGAGATGATGCTAGATGTCCTCCAGCCAGGAAACGAGGAGGGCTCTGTGGAACATGCTGTAGCTTCTAATGCACACTGTGAGAAGCTCACGGTGTGCAGTGATATCAGACTAAGCAATCTGAGTACAGGAAAGGAGAATGTACAACTGTACAAGACTGAAGGGAAGGTCGGAGCTCTGATTTAATTCTAAAGTAAGTTTGTCCATCTTACTGACTGAGCAGTTATAGTTTGAACACAAAATAGCAGTACCATGGCCTGATGAACAAGATATGAATTTGGGATTTATTGAATATATACATAGGAGAGGAAATTTAAAAAAATAAAGATTTGGAAGTCATGTGACAGAACGCTCAGAGCCAGTCACAGAGTTTTTTGGTCATTAATCTGCAAATTTATTGGTCGTCCAGCCTTCTTTAAGGGTCACCCCGCTGCTCATCACTGGTAAGTGGGCGCTGGAAAAAGTCAGTGGTCTCTGCAGCAGATGGCACATGGAATATTGGTGGTGAGGTGTCTGGGGTTGATGGCACTTGTATGGCGGTGCGGGTGGTCCGTGCAGAGTGATTTGGTGTCCCTGTCCAAATAAGAGGTGACAGTTATATTATAGTGTATAGGTATTTTCTAACCCTGCCTTCAGGGAATACCAAAGCCCAACAGAAGTCACAAAAAACTTAAGTAATCAGCTAGACTTTGTACTAACCTCAATTTTCATAGTTATGCTGGCAGTCTAAATATGGCTGGAATTTCTTAATTTTTTAAATTGAAGAAGTTGGGTGGAAAATTGTTGGCCGTACAGCAGCTGCATCCAGCGTCAGAATACAGTAGCCCAACAGGATGATTCGTCCAACCGCTCTGTATAGCATGAATGGAGGAATCTCCAGCTTTAAGCTGGCCATAGATGGTTCAAATCTCGGATGGTTCAGCAGGGACCGGCTGTGATTCGAACCGTCTATGGGCTGATTGTACCTAAGTCAATCCATTGGGTACAACCGCCATGTCAGATTTTTACATGCAATTACATGCGAATATCACTGTGTTCTCCTGGTAGGGATGGCTCCCTGCGACCCCGCCAGGAGAACACAATAGCTCAGCAGGAGGTATTCCCCCATAAACACTGACTGTGTTAATAGGAGGGAATCGAGCGATTTTCTTTCCTTCAACCCATGTTTGCAGGGAAAAAAAAATCGCATTATTTATGGCCTGCCTTTAAAGTGTTACTGAACCCACAACAGTACAATCAGTCTGTATATGCAGTAAAGCATGCTTGTTATACTCACTGTGGAACCTAAGGGGTTAATCCTCTGCATTGTATAAAAAAGCTGTTTGATCCTGACTTCTCTGCTCCTCCTCTTGTTCAAATGTCTACGCTGATAAGACAGACTGAACCTGTAGCTCTTCTGCACGTGCTCAGTTTAGTGTGTATTGCTAGAGAGGTTTTGTTTCTTGGGAGAGTGCATGTGATCAGCACGGGGTCAATCAGCACTGTCCATACAGAGGTCAGGGGTTTTGCATCTTCCTAGAGCAGGGGTATCAAACTGGTGGGCCTCCAGCTGTTGAGAAACTACAAGTCCCATGATACCTTTGCCTTTGGGAGTCATGCTTGTAACTGTCAATCTTGCAATGCCTCATGGGACTTGTAGTTTGGCAATAGCTGGAGGGCCGCCAGTTTGACACCTGTGTCCTAGAGCATAAAGAAAAATCCTCCTACAAGCTTTAACCAGTGCCCTGCTGAACACTGGCACTGCTGATGAGAAAAGGTTTATAGCAGTTTATATTTACTAAAATAATTGCACTTCCATGTTGTGTGTACTGTGGGAGACCAGATAGAGTGAATGCAGGGTCCAGGGAGACCGGATATAGTGAATCCAGGGTCCGGGGATACCAGATATAGTGAATGCAGGGTCCGGGGAGACCAGATATAGTGAATTCAGGGTCCTGGGAGACCGGATATAGAGAATGCAGGGTCTAGGGAGACCAGATATAGTGAATGCAGGGTCCGGGGAGACCAGATATAGTGAATGCAGGGTCCGGGGAGACCGGATATAGTGAATGCAGGGTCCTGGGAGACCAGATATAGTGAATGCAGGTCCTGGAAGACCGGATATAGTGAATGCGGGGTCCTGGGAGACCGGATTTAGTGAATCCAGGGTCCGGGGAGACCGGATATAGTGAATGCAGGTCCTGGGAGACCGGATATAGTGAATGCAGGGTCCTGGGAGACCGTATATAGTGAATGCAGGGTCCGGGGAGACCGTATATAGTGAATGCAGGGTCCAGGGAGACCGTATATAGTGAATGCAGGGTCTGTGGAGACCGGATATAGTGAATGCAGGGTCCGGGGAGACCAGATATAGTGAATGCAGGGTCCGGGGAGAATGGATATAGTGAATGCAGGGTCCAGGGAGACCGGATATAGTGAATGCAGGGTCCGGGGAGACCAGATAGAGTGAATGCAGGGTCCGGGGAGACCGGATATAGTGAATCCAGGGTCCGGGGATACCAGATATAGTGAATGCAGGTCCTGGGAGACCGGATATAGTGAATGCAGGGTCCTGGGAGACCGGATATAGTGAATGCAGGATCTGGGGAGACCAGATATAGTGAATGCAGGGTCCAGGGAGACCAGATATAGTGAATGCAGGGTCCGGGAGAGCGGATATAGTGAATGCAGGATCCAGGGAGAGCGGATATAGTGAATGTAGGGTCCTGGGTTTAGTAACACTTTAAGCCCTGTATAAACATTGAAAATATCGAATGAATAATCATACATTTTTTTTTTGGATGCTAGTCTCATACCGAAAGTGCACAGGTTACTAAAGTTACGAAAATTCTTGTACGACAGAATAAAAATTCAGAGGTGATGTAATGTTTAGTAATGTATTTGTATTGTATTATCAGACAAAACTGTACTGGTTAAACGAAAATCATACAATCTGGTGACGTATGATACAAATTCTCGTGCTTGTCCCTTTGAGTAATTTCAGACGATTGCTGTGTACTAATGATCAGATTATCGTACGGTCGCTTTGAAATCAGCATTTTTCTTACGATTTTCTGATCGTATGTACAGGAAATTCCGTTGTTGGTGACACTTTGTTAGTTGCAGAATCACTGAAGTCCAATATCCTTTATCATTAGCAGAAGTTGTAAGAATAACCAATGGACTCACCACTGGTTTGAGCAGAGAGGGAGTATAATAAAAGGTGTCACCAATGGCAGAATGAGCCAGGTGAGCTGATAAAAGGGTTTTTTTATAGTCATTTTGATGCTGCTTAGTAGAGTTCTTCCAACAATCGGGGGCTTTCACCGGCCATTCAGGTTTAAGGTAACTTTTCTATCATCTTTTTTTGTTGACCTCACACATCAGTCCATGCCTGTGCATGTGGAACGTGTCATTCTTGTCTCTACTCACGTGTGTTGGAGGCACTTTGACTTCTGATGTGCGGAGCAGCAGAACGGGCTCTCTCTATTGATGCCCTATACGGTGGCTGAGGCGTTTTCACTGGCAAACAGAGTAAAGGGGTCACCCAGAATTCCAAGAATAAAGGAAATTAAGACTTGGCTGCAGAGCTCACACTCACCTGCTGCTTCCCTCTCTGGAACGTTATTGGAGAAATAGGCATCAATCCGGCCCTTGTACATGACGCCGTCAATTCCCATCAAGTCAAACTCACTCTGTAAGAGTAAAAGGGTAAACAGACCAATGGACAGACCATTAAAATAGTCAGCTGCCAAACATATAAGACAAGTGGTGAGCCAGCAATGAATAAAGTGAACCTGAACTAAAAATATTGAACATTTGCTACCTAATTGGGAACCTCTGAAAATAATAATTGTACCTAAGCATTAGAGCAGGGGCGTCAAACTGGCGGCCCTCCAGCTGTTGCGAATCTACAAGTCCCATCATGCCTCTGCCATTGGGAGTAATGCTTGTAACTGTCAATCTTGCAATGCCTCATGGGACTTGTAGTTTGGCAACAGTTGGAGGGCCGCCAGTTTGATACCCGTGCATTAGACAAAAAAATGTACCCCTTGTCTTGAGTTCCTCCTTAAAAATAGCACTGTATTTGTGCCTAGGCGCTCCTGTTTCTTTAGCCTCATAGCTGAATATCTGCAGTGTGAGATCATCCAAGGTACTGCTGCCTCTAACCTCTAGTCTCAGCAGATTTGGAGAGAGATTTATTAACTGTGCTGATCACTGTTCTCTTTGCTGAAGAGGAAGCTGTACCTGAGGACCTGCAGGACAAGGATCTCCCTGCTTCATTTTTATTCACTCTGCAGATCTCTGCTTCCTCCACCTCTCCTACTCCTTCTTCATCATTACTACCTGCCAGTCATCAGATCACTAGTAACAAGAGGGGTAGCTCTGACATGATGAAGCAGAGACCTACCTCTACAAAGATGGTGGCCACAGAGACACAGGGATTGAATTACTAAAGGCAAATAGACTGTGCAAATTGCAAAGTGCGGTTGCTCCAGAGCTATGAGGTAAAGATTTACTTTGCAAAGAATACCCAATCACATGCAAGGAAAATATATAAAAAAAACATAATTTGTGCTCACACATGATTGGATGATGTAAATCAGCTGAGCTTCTGCTCGTTCACTAAGCTCTAGAGCAGTGATCTCCAAACTGTTGTCCATGGGCCAAATGCAGCCCTTTGCTTGTAGTTAACTGGCCCTATGGGCACTATTCCTCCCACTGATTCAAGGCACTATTACTTTCACTAAAATCAAGGATGGGGAAGAATTCCTCCCAGTGACACCAATGATGGGACACTATTCCTTTCATTGATACCAACAATTGGGCAGTTTTCCTTTCAATGACACTAAAGATGGGGCTCTATTCTTCCTCCCTGTGACCACCATGTCTGGGGCATGGTTTTCTCCCACCAACATCAGGACATTTCCTACTTCCACTGGCCACAGTCTGGCCCCCCTGAAGCAGAGTAAACTGGCCCTTTGTTTGGGAGGTTTGGAGCCCCATGCTCTAGAGCAGGGGTATCAAACTGGCGGCCCTCCAGCTGTTGCCAAACTACAAGTCCCATCATGTCTCTACCTTTGGGAGTCATGCTTGTAACTGTCAATCTTGCAATGCCTCATGGGACTTGTAGTTTGGCAACAGCTGGAGGACCGCCAGTTTGACACCTGTGCCCTAGAGCAACTGCACTTGCAGAGTGCACAGTCTATTTGCCTTTAGTAAATCAACCCCATAGTGTGCAACAAGGCATGGGAAATCAGTAATGGGGGAGAGATCAACTGCAAGGAGACCAGAGGGCCATTTTCATCGTACAGGTCTGCTTTAAGAAAAATGTTATAATGTGGGTCAAAAGTCCACAGTTTCTGCAACGCATAAGCCATTGTGACAAAAGTCATACATGGTTCAATCCCAGCCATGGGCACATTTCTAGCTAACGGAACCACACATATGAGCTAAATTCACTAAGCTGCAACACATGTTATTTGTCATAATGAATTTTTTTTACCCAGACAAAAGAAACTTTAGACTTGCCTATTGACACCTGTATGCTCAGCTATCATAAATGTTTTTATTTCAATAGGAATAAAAGACATCATGGGGTTTATTTACTAAAGCTGGAGAGTCCAAAATCAGACTCCCTTCTGCATAGAAACCAATCAGCTTCCACGTTTCATTGCCAAAGCTTCATTGAACAAGCTGAGGTTAGAAGCTGATTGGTTTCTATGCAGAAGGGAGTCTGATTTTGGACTCTCCAGCTTTAGTAAATAAACCCCCATGAGACATGCACCTCCCAGTTCAGTGACCATTCTTACATTTTTGTACTGGACCTGTACCGGGTCACCATAGGGGAAAACGGTGCCCAGGTTCTGGCTGCGGGATGTCTTTCTGTGCAGGGAGCAGGAGGTGTGGGGTCTCGGTGGTTCTGCGTACAGGAATTCTGGGTCTGTTACCTGTTGGGGGTCACTGAAAGCAAGAAATACACAAATTTAAAGAGTGAAGATGTAACGCCTAGACCAAGTATCTAACAGCCTGTGTCAGAGGGGTTTTGTTTGCTTTATGCAGGTTTCGCATTTCCATACAAGTCTAAAGCTGACCATATACTGTATTGATTGAAAATTGGCCGGTCCCAGCCCTCTTGCACTGTACTTATCCTGGCTTAACCTGGCCTACTGGGGAAGGCAAAAAAAAAATCACTGTATTGCCCTGAACTGAAGAAGTGGCAGTTTACAGCCACAATACGCATCTTTTTGAAGAAATAAAGCAATTTGATTTCCAATAAACCAGACGACTCCAATCCATCCTTAGTCGAATGACGAGTGCCTCTGCCGCTTGGACCACCAACAGACTTTTTTGAAAACTTTCCAAACTCACCTAGTTCTGCTGGACCAGCTTTGATCAGTGTGTGGTCTCCTCTATTCAACAGAAAATGATTATTTCATCAATGTTTCTCAAAGAGACATGTCAGAAAAGTTTTCGACAGTCAGCAGTTGCAACCAATTAGCTGCGGGAGGAATTTCACCATCCACCTCATTGGTGTGGATGGAGGAACCTGTTAGTTTTCATTCACCCCTCTGGCTCTAGGACCAACGTATGGAGATGCAAAATTGGGCAGGTCAGAAGGAGGACTATTGCAGGTCAGACAGAGGACTATTGCAAATGCTCCTGTCCATGAATTCTGAATGATCTAAGACAGTGTTTCTCAACCTTTTTTCAATCAAGGCACCCTTTAAAATTATGGACAGTCCCGAGGCACCCTTTAAAATTATGGACAGTCCCGAGGCACCCTTTAAAATTATGGACAGTCCCGAGGCACCCTTTAAAATTATGGACAGTCCCAAGGCACCCTTTAAAATTATGGACAGTCCTGAGGCACCCTTTAAAATTATGGACAGTCCCGAGGCACCCTTTAAAATTATAGACAGTCCCGAGGCACCCTTTAAAATTATGGACAGTCCTGAGGCACCCTTTAAAATTATGGACAGTCCCGAAGCACCCTTTAAAATTATGGACACTCCTGAGGCACCCTTTAAAATTATGGACAGTCCTGAGACACCCTTTAAAATTATAGACAGTCCCGAGGCACCCTTTAAAATTATGGACAGCCCCGAGGCACACTTTAAAATTATGGACAGTCCCGAGACACCGTTTAAAATCATGGACAGTCCCGAGGCACCCTTTAAAATTATGGACAGTCCCGAGGCACCCTTTAAAATTATGGACAGTCCCGAAGCACCCTTTAAAATTATGGACAGTCTCAAAGCACCCTTTAAAATTATGGACAGTCCCGAGGCACCCTTTAAAATTATGGACAGACCCGAAGCACCCTTTAAAATTATGGACAGTCCCGAAGCACCCTTTAAAATTATGGACAGTCCCGAGGCACCTTTTAAAATTATGGACAGTCCCGAAGCACCCTTTAAAATTATGGACAGTCCCGAGGCACCCTTTAAAATTATGGACAGTCCCAAGGCACCCTTTAAAATTCTGCACAGTCTTGAGGCACCCCATCTAGGAATGGGGTGCCTCAAGGCTGTCCATAATTTTAAAGGGTGCCTTGGGACTGTCCATAATCTTAAAAGGACACCCGGTTCTAAAATGTGAAAAACTATTCTAATAGTTTTATATAACACAGCAACTCAGAACTCAGCACACGAATGGTGGGAGCCCCTCATAATGGGCACAGAAGGTGTACAGACCTGAGAACTCAGAACGGGAAATGGTGGGAACCCCTCATAATGGGCACAGAAGGTGTAAAGACCCAGGAACTCAGCACAGAGATGGTGGGAACCCCTCATAAATGGGGATTAGAAGATGTGCAGCTCCAAGAACTCAGGATATGAATGGTGGGAACCCTTCACAATGGGCACAGAAGGTGTGCAGACCTGAGAACTCAGCACAGGGATGGTGGGAACCCCTCATTATAGGCACAGCAGGTGTGCAACCTTGGGAACCCATTGCAGGGGTGGTGTAAATGATTCATAATGGGCACAGAGGGTGTACAGACCCTGAAACTCAAGATTTCACCAACAGAGTTCCCAAGACATAGAAGAAGGTTATGTAGGTAAGTCTTCAGTGAACCAAACACTAAAATAACAGTGTAAAGTGGACTGACCCTTTGCATTTGCATTTTGCTGCTTGCTCTATTATTGAACATAGCTTTGATGAGCCAGCATTCTGCGGTATTGCCTCATGTGCGATAATAAGGAACTAGCAAGGGTTAGCTGCACAGCCGGAGTGGATTGTGGGTGAAGGGAAAACCATCGGCAAGTCTGATCTTTCATTTCTGCACAAACAGAGCCCTCTGTGTCTGTAGTCCATGACGAGGCTGTGGATTCTCTCCATCCATGAAAGGAGATATATTAGACCCAGTGTAAAGAGTGCAGAAAACTGCTAGGCCTCGGTAATACACTTTGGGGCCGAATATACACGGTGATGGAGTTCATCCAGATCCTGAGCGCCTTGTTGGATCTTTTTTATTATCTGTGGAGGGGTGCAGGGCTGGGGGGGAGCAAAGTAAGTCTGTGTACTTGCAGTGATAAGTCAATGTTTGGCTGGAACTATAAAACGTGGATCGAAATTTGTCCTGATTATTATTATTATTTTTATACAGGATTTATATGGCGCCAACAGTTTGCTCAGCGCTTTACAATATAACAGGAGACAATACAGCAACAATACAGTTCAATACAAGAGGGATTAGAGGGCCCTGATCCTGGGAGCTTACAATCTAGGATCAGCAGTGACCAACCAAATTTTGATCCATGTATGGGCTAGCTGGTTGTACACAAGTTGATCAATCAACTTGTGTACAACCAGCCTGTCGAGTTATTAACGACCTATCAGTGCTGCCGGATAAAGCCAGTAACACCAATCATTGGATTCTGCCGGCGGGGAGTGATTTCATCAGCTGGTTGAACGAAAAAAAAAAAAAAATGAATCATGTATGACAATGTTGAAGTATGGTCCCAGGCAAAAAAAAAAAATATGAGAACTCAGACAAATACATTATATTGCATAAAGTATTGGGCCTCCTGCCTTTCCACACACATGAACTTTAATGGCCCCCCAGTCTCAGTCCGTAGGGTTCAATATTGAGTTGGCCCCGCCCTTTCCCCACACATGACCTTTAATGGCCCCCCAGTCTTAGTCCGTAGGGTTCAATATTGAGTTGGCCCCGCCCTTTGCAGCTATAACGGCTTCAACTCTTCTGGGAAGGCCGTCCACAAGGTTTAGGAGGGTGTCTATGGGAAGGTTGGACCATTCTTCCAGAAGCACATTTGTCAGGTCAGGCACTGATGTCGGGGGAGGAGGCCTGGCTCACAGTCTCCGCTCTAATTCATCCCAAAGGTGTTCTATGGGGTTGAGGTCAGGACTCTGTGCAGGCCAGTCAAGTTCCTCCACCCCAAAGTCGCTCCTCCATGTCTTTATGGACCTTGCTTTGTGCACTGGTGCGCAGTCATGTTGGAACAGGAAGGGGCCATCCCCAAACTCTTCCCACAAAGTTGGGAACATGAAATTGTCCAAAATGTCTTATTATGCTGATGCCTCAAGAGTTCCCTTCACTGGAACTAGGGGGCCAAGCCCAACCCTTGAAAACTAACTCCACACCATAATCCCCCTCCACCAAACTTTACACTTGGCACAATGCATTCAGGCAAGTACCGTTCTCCTGGCAACCGCCAAACCCAGACACGTCCATCGGACTGCCAGACAGAGAAGCGTGATTAGTCACTCCAGAGAACACATCTCCACTGCTCTAGAGTCCAGTGACGGCGCGCTTTACACTATGGCATCCGACGCTTTGCATTGCACTTGGTGATGTAAGGCTTTTATGCAGCTGCCCGGCCATGGAAACCCATTCCATGAAGCTCTCTACGCATTGTTGTTGGGCTCATCTGAAGGCCACACCAAGTTTGGAGGTCTTTAGCTATTGACTCTGCTGACAGTTGGTGACTTCTGCGCACTGTGCGCTTCAGCATGCGCTGACCCCGCTCTGTCATGTGACGTGGCCTACCACTTGGTGGCTGAGGTGCTGTTGTTGCTGAGGTGAGTAGTAACGACTAGGCCTTACTTAGCAACGCCCTAGCAACATCCTAGGAGTATTCCAGTCAGGCTTCATAAGGTACATAAATGGCCTATAGCAAGAGCATTATTCAACTTTAGTCAAAGCTGCACAGTTTGTTTTATCTACAGATACCCCTTATCTGCACAGGCGTTTTTTTTGTTAATGGTGAACCAACCCTCTAAAAGGAGCTGGCGGTAATGAGTTCCAGATTAGGACTGGAAAGGAAGACGCTCCAATCCTTCTCTTACCCGCTGATTTTATCCTTGCCGAATTCAGCGCTCTGCGGACGGTTCCGGGGGATCAGTTGGGCTGAACGAACTGTGACGAGGTGCCTGGAAAATAAAACAAATGACGGAGACCTCACATAGCATGGATATTCTAAGACAGGAGACATGGGGTGATATCAGGACAGAAAAGGGAAAAACAGAGGTGACAAACTTGCATTAGATGGAGGTGACAACAAGGGAAGAATTAGCAGGGGGGCAGCTTAGCAGCAAAGTGTTTGTTTACTCACGGCCCTGTTGCCATGGTGACCGGCCTATCACAAGAAATGCATTTGACTCTCTGGAACAGTTTCCTGAGGAGAAGCATATAAAACGACTCTCAGTTTCACTCTGGAGCGAGATGCAAAGAGTACCTGTCACGCACCATGCAGCCCTCCCATTGCGTCAATAGAGCCGGTTTCCATGACGATGGCGATCACTAGGGATTAGTGTCTCTGCGGGGAGGCGGCTCTAACGCTTTTGTTTTTGGCAGAGCCCTTTTATGTCATTAAATTATAAAGAATGAACAGGTCTGGGCTGCGTCTGATACGTGGACTGACCTGGAACATGTATACAGAAAATCAGGGGTGCTCTGGGTCTGTGACACATATATATCGAAATCAGAGGGTCTGCAGAGCAGCCAGGAAACTGGCATTTAGTCAGAACCTCTGAACCTGTCAGAGTCCACATGGGGGTATTCTGCACTCACTTCCTGTCCTGGTGACACTAGAATAAGAAATATAAAGGTGCAGGAGTCACCAAGACAGGAAGACGGCAATACAAACCTGACAGATGTTTTCACCCTCCCCACCAAATTAAAGTAGAAAGGAAACTTTTTTGCTTTTCGATAGAGTAAAGGAAAGCTATAACCCTTGTCAGGTTTTGTTTTTTTGCCACGTGTGTCCAATATTATATTATATTATTATTATAGTTATATTATATAGTATATTAATGCTTTATATATAAAAAATATATATATATATAATTTTCTAGTATATTATTGTATTATATTATCGTTATATTATATAGTATATTAATGCATTATATTATATTATATTATTTTATATTATATTATATATATTGAATATATAATATTATAGTATGGTTATATTATAAAGTATATTAAAGTGTAAAAAAAGCCAAAACATTTTTTCTTTTTTGGTTTTGGATAGAGTGGAGATTGATTAGAACGCTTGTCAGTTTTTATTGCTGTCTGTGCTCCCCCCCGATAAGAAGATTCACCCTCTCTATTTGCCCTGCTTACCATTAGCATTGAAAGTGAAACAAAATCCTAAATTTTGGGTTGTCCCCAGATAAGTAATAGAAGGGAAATCTTCCAATGGGGACACTAGTTCTGGTGACCTGGGGGTCCCCAAGAAATTTCCCTTAATTTGCAGGGATTTCCTCTCACTTCCTGTTCTGGCTATGGACAGGAAGTGAAGGAGAATCTCCAAAATGGTACACAGATGGTGAAAAAAAGGGGTTAGAACCCTCCCTTAATCCAAAATGGAAAAAAAAAGTATAGCTCTAATTGAATGCTTTATATTTAAAAAAAATTATACATACATACATATATATATATATATATATATATATATATATATAACATTTTAATAGTATATTATTGAATTGTATTATAGTTATTTTATATCATATATTATTGCATTAAATTTTTATATACAGTATATATATATATATATATATATATATATATATATATATTAGTATATTTATATTATAGTTTTATTATGTAGTATAGTAATGTGTTTTACTAAAAATGTTTTTCGATACAAAAATATGTTATATTAAAATCTAATAAAAACCATACATTTATCTGATGAAGTTATTCTTATTACAATTTCTTTGTAACCTTGATGATGATGCTTTGGCTCCTGAAACGGGTCGGTAAACTTTAACCACTATAAATAAATCCTTCTCTGTACAAATCTAAGAAAGCTTTGGCTGCAGTAAGGTTTTAAGAAAGAAGCAGGGTTTGTCTTTCTAAAAGACTAAAGCCGGCCATACACAGGTCGAATTATGAAATAATTTTGTTTCGAAAAATACAGGGTACACATGGATCGAAGTTTGGCCAATCTCTACTGAACCGGACAAATTTCGATCCACCTATGCCCAGCTTGGTTTTCACTACAAGCAAAGTGATCCTGGGTGTGCATCAAAGATCTATGTCCGTCCGGCTCAAAATAAGAAATTCTACAGAATTGGATGTCTGAAGTAAATCCAGGTTCCCTTCAGTGGACATGACTCCCGCCTTGCCATCATCTCATATGGCCCTACAACAAGTTATATAAGTTTTCATTTTCCGATGGTCCCCTATCCTTCTATGCTCACTCACTTTCTAGATCCAGCGGCTCCGTCCGGCTCAAAGGCTTGTCCGGAGTTGAGATGCTTCTTGAGGAACCTCCACAGCTCTTCCAGGTCTTTGTGTACGGAGTCCAAATCTGACTGGCTCAGCTGAAGGCAGAAGCATTTCAGAGTCATAAGTGATATAGTAACTGTGGACCCTGACTCTACCATTTCATATGAACTGTTCCTGTTGTTTACCATCATCACCGAAAATGAAAGAAAATCCCAAGTCTTAGGTTGTCACCAGAACAGGAAAAGACAGAAGACGGGAAATCTTCCAATGGAGACACTAGTCTCAAGGATTTCCTCACTTTTGGGAGATTTCTTCTCACTTCCTGTTTTGTCTATGGAACAGGAACTGAAGGGAAGTCTGCTCAATGGGATTCAGATGACAAAAAAAAAGAAAGGGGTATAACTCTCTGTTACTCAATCCAAAATTTAAAAAAATGCCGTTAGTTCTACTTGAAGCATTTTAGACAATGTTTTTATTGTGCCTTCGTGTCCTGGTTAAAACTAAACAGGAAGTGAGGGGAAAATCTCCCCAGTGGAGTCACAGACCCGACAAACATTAATTATTCTCCATCCTATCCAAACCTAGCTGGCATTAGGCTTTAACTGAACTGATATCATCTAAATACATGTACAGCAGGGGTGTCAAACTGGCAGCCCTCCAGCTGTTACAAAACTACAAGTCCCATCATGCCTCTGCCATTGGGAGTCATGCTTGTAACTGTCAATCTTGCAATGCCTCATGGGACTTGTAGTTTGGCAACAGCTGGAGGGCTGCCAGTTTGATACCCGTGCATTAGACAGAAAAATGTACCCCTTGTCTTGAGTTCCTCCTTAAAAATAGCACTGTACTTGTGCCTAGGCACTCCTGTTTCTTTAGTCTCATAGCTGCAGTGTGAGATCATCCAAGGCACTGCTGCCTCTGACCTCTAGTCTCAGCAAATTTGGAGAGAGAGAGATTTATTGACTGTGCTGATCACTGTTCTCCTTGCTGAAGAGGAAGCTGTACCTGAGGACCTGCAGGACAAGGATCTCCCTGCTTCAGTTTTATTCACTCTGCAGATCTCTGCTTCCTCCACCTCTCCTACTCCTTCTTCATCATTACTACCTACCAGGCATTAGATCACTAGTAACAAGAGGGGTAGCTCTGACATGATGAAGCAAAGACCTACCTCTACAAAGATGGTGGCCACAGAGACACAGGGATTGAATTACTAAAGGCAAATAGACTGTGCAAATTGCAAAGCGCAGTTGCTCCAGAGCTAAGTAAATGAGGTAAAGATTTTCTTTGCAAAGAATACCCAATCACGTGCAAGGAAAATATTAAAAACATCATTTTTGCTCACACATGATTGGATGATGTAAATCAGCAGAGCTCCTGCTCATTCACTAAGCTCTAGAGCAATAGTCTCCAAACTGTCACCCATGGGCCAAATGTGGCCCTTTGCTTGTAGTTATCTGGCCCTATGGGCACTATTCCTCCCACTGATTCAAGGCACTACTTCTTTCACTAAAATCAAGGATTGGGAAGCATTCCTCCCAGTGACACCAATGATGGGACAGTATTCCTTTCATTGATACCGCCAGTTTGACACCCGTGATGTTCAGTATCATATGTGTTCTATCCTGAGAGCTGAGTCACACCAGATGTAGGTCAGTGCATCAAAAACACATGCACAGTGTTTTCCATGTATTCCATTGGCCCTAGTTCACACCAGTGCAGTCCGTTCCAGTCAGTTTCCGGTACAGAAAAAAAGTAGAACGTGCTGCATTTTTTCTGCACAGAACTGTACTGGAACATGGCAAACGGCATCAAAACTGCAACGGAACTGCGTGTCATGTGAAGCAAAAACGTATCCGGAATGCATCCGGGGTGCATTATTTTATAGTGTGAATTTGCCCTTAGGGCCCATCTATTTCTCTGTGTTGACTTATTGTGTGTTGCATGAAAGCAGAACTGATGTTGTGCCACAACAAACAGCGAGCAGGCAGGCTTTTATTGCAGAAGGCACATGCAATGTGCCTCTCCTGCAGTGAAATGCCTCTATCTGCCTGCCGTCTTCTCCAGTTCATGCTCAGCTTACAGCACCGGGTCTGTCTCTGTGTGCCAGAATGACAATCTCCTGCGCATGTGCAGGAGTGACGTCATCCCGCACCGGCCCATGAAAATGACCGTCACATAGGAGAAGATGCCAGCAATGGACGGTTGGGAATGTAAGTATTAACCCCTATATTTCCACTTTATTTATTTCAGGTACTTATATAGCGCCGTCAATTTATGCAGTGCTTTACATATATATTGTGCATTCACAACCCTCAAGGGGTGTACAATCTAAGGTCCCTAACTTACATTCATACTGTACACATACTAGGGACAATTTAGACAGGATCCAATTAACCTACCAGCATGTCTTTGGAGTGTGGGAGGAAACCGGAGTACCCGGAGAAAACCCACGCAGGCACAGGGAGAACATGCAAACTCCAGGCAGGTGGTGCCTTGGCTGGGATTCGAACCAACAACCCTAGTACTGTCTGGCGGAAGTGCTAACCATTTAGCCACTGTGCTGCGCTTTAAGGCAGCTTCTTTAAAATGAATAGGATGAATGGGGATCACGACTCATGATCCTTTTGGTGTGCCATAAAAAATTAATGGAAGCACAACTCAGCAGTGCATGTTATGTACATCATGGCCACTAGATGGCGATAACGATTATGGCACATTGGTGATTCCGTTCTATGATCATTGGCTCCATCTAGTGGC